CTTCTAGCCCCCCCCCCCCGCATAAGCCGCCTCAATGGACACTTGCCTCAAAGTCTAATTTTCACATTCCATATATATCATTGCATTCTAATGTGCAAGTAAACCTTTGAGATTTCAAACTTTAAGTGTAAAGAAGTACTTATGGTTTAAAATATCTAAGATCTACGACAGCAGAAGGCAACATATAGTGATAACCAGAAAACTATGGAATAGGAAGACGACATTTTAGCAATACTTAAGTGTATTTGATGGTGTTACAAAACAAAACAGCTTTACCAGACACTTATAAAATCACTTTTTTTGTTAAATGGGTCTGTTTACACTGCACAATTTCTGTCTATCATGGTTATTGAATTTTTCAAAGTTAAAACTTGTTTCTCAAAGTCGTCATACTATTCCAGAGTTTTCTGGTTATCACTGTATGTGTGTCTTACACATAGACAAATATATAAACATAGATAGCTTATGTACGCAAAATCACCAAGAATTGCACAGTCCGCGAACTCATACTTCTAGAAGTCAAAGTGTACTTCAATGATAAGCGGGGTGATTTGGTGTTTTAATGGATTTCATAATAGAGTGTTAAATAACTCCGGGAATGGAACTATTTAAACAACAATATTTCACTGAGCAATATATCATATTGACGAGAACTGAAGAAGGACATGAGAAGGACTAAACTAACATAAATTTCTCTCTACAGAACTCATGTACACCACAAGTACTTAATGACATAAGAACAGCCAATGTTCACAACCGACCTATAGTTAATCTATATAATAGGAATATCTTTAAAACATCTCTGTACCCTCTCTGTACATTTATATCTTTCAAGATGAAAAATGTCGTCTTATGCGCAATCTATCTTTATCTATGGTCTTACATCAATGATTTTAGGACGTTACCCGTTGACGACTACATTTTTGTGAAGTGTTGTTATAATTGTTTGTATCTCTTCTGGAAATGATCAACCAATCAAGTAGAATATAAACCAACAAGTCAATATACGATACAAAATATTAAGTTTCTTCCTCAAGCTGCAAACGTTTAGAAAATAATAATAATAATAATAATGTACAATAATGATAACAACAAATTTAGATGTAATGTACAAATTCAAAGCATAACATAAAATCAGTTTTGAATTACATATGTACAAGCCTGGCCATCCCTTTAGTAATAATCAGCTTATTGTTGCTCATCAATCTGAAAGCCTAAGTACATGGTGCAACGTGCATACGGAAATATTATAAAAACAAAATTTCCCAGATTTTCCTGTTTTTTATCATCGGCTTCAGAAATAGTTTTGAGAATCGAAATTATTTTCAACCAAAACTTTCAAATTTTGGCCTGCCTAACCTTCTTTGGGGTTTTGTAGGTTACCATGCACAAAATGTGCAGGGCAGGATCTAATTAGAAACGTGTTGACGTTTATTGAACACAGACAAACAAATACGCAGCCAGTTCAACTTTACATCAAGGGACGTATTCAGGGGGAACAAAGGACAAAGGAACAATAATATGTTCCCATAGATTAATAACAATGCAGATAGAACCCTAGATTGTGTGTATTTGGAATTTCAGGGTTTTTCGTCCACACAAACCCTATGGCAGAAGCCCAAAGGAGTTACGCGCATGCTCTCTCTCTGTCAACGCTGCCTGCGCGTAACACCTTTGGGTATTTTGCCTGAGGTTTATTGTAAACTAAAATCTCTTAAATGTTGAAAAGACGACATTAGTGTTCTTTCCGTATAGTTGTTAATCTATGCATGCTCCCCTTTCAACTTTGAAGGAGAAAGAGAAATTACATCTTAATTGCATCTTAATTACATCTTAATTACATCTTAATTACACATAATTAATAGTATTTGATTGCTAAAATGATACAGTAAGTAAGCTCATGCTAATAGCAATGAGTTTTAATATGTGCATAATAGTAAGCAATTCCATATTTGTTTCATGTTCAGGATTGAAGTCCATACCATTATTTAATGAAGCTATCAGCTGTCAAGATAAAGATAAATTAGAAAAATCTAATAACTTCATTCTAATTATTTTTTATTTTATTTTAAAATTTTATCATTTATTTTACATAGATTTAAAATTAAATGAGATTTAAAAATTTATATTAGTATTTATTATTTGATATCTGATTTTTACAGGTACAAATAAGGGAATACATTTAAATTAAAACCCCGGTCAATAAAACTTAAATTTAATTTTCTTTTGAAAGTTATCCCGGTAACCCCAGCGTTAAATAAGCTTCTAATATTAAGAAAGAATTGAACTTACATTTCAAACGCATGGAAGAATTCGAAGAACAGACGAAGAGTTTGAAGAAAAACTCTGAACTCACTGAAAGAAAAAAAGTAATTTTTAACAATTTTTTAAATGTACAATTTTTATATGTACAGTTTTTCTACAGTGAACCCCAACGAATACATCGAAAGAATTCATCAAATGTCGTATTCTTCACTTTCTGGTAATGTAATGTTTCATATATTTAGTTTTTTAATTAAATGATTATATGGAACTCTTTAAAACTGTTCCCGTATATTCATGGCTATTTATTTATTTTCGCAAATACTGAAATTTACGTAATATAGTATAAAACTCATTGAAAAGTTGTCTAGACGACATTTGATAAGTTCTTCCGATGTATTCGTTATTAAGGGTTTAACTGTATGTACAATTTTTATATATATATATAATTTTATATGTACAATTTTAATTATAAAATGAGGAACTTAAACTTTTAACGTTTCTTATAGCTCCCTAAAATTTCAGGTTTACAAGGTATCCATCTTTATTTTATGACCTACTCAACTTAGAACTTTTAAACCAAGCTCAGAACATTTCCGTGGTTTTACTGAGAATTTTACAATCAAACTTTTAGGCTAATCGGTCCAGGGGTTCATGAGTTATGATCGGAAATACAAGCAAACAAACAGACAAAGAGAGAGTACTTCTAGTTCTATATATATTATATATCTGATAATCAAAACACAGATTAAATTTCCATTTTATATATATATATATATATAAATATATATATATATATATATATATATATGTATGTATGAAAAATATATTTTTTTCTACTCTTCTTTTGTCCTACACTTTGTTCGTCCTACATAACAATCAAGAAAATGCAGACAAACTTCTTAGCACTATATTTGGGGTTCGATTATGTTCTGTAAAGTAGATGTTAGTGCTTGTAATTTATCTNCCCCCCCCCCCTTCCGGCGTTCTGCTGAAAGAAAATAGAAGCGTAATGTTTAAGTGACTCTCTCCATGCAAAGATGACAGTTCCCTATTCACAACGGTACCATTAAAGCTTTGTCTGATCAAGCAGGAATAGATATCAAGGTTTATAATAATTTTCAATTGTGATTTCCCCACAGAAGTGACATGCGCATTTGTACTGCAGGGAAACCTGTGAAAGTTAGTAGAATTAAACACTTTTAAACCTTGAAAGCGTGAATATCATACAAGTTATTGATCAGATAAAGGTTTCCAGGTTACCGTTATTAATTGGACAATGCCATCTTAACATGGAGGGTCACTTGAAATTACGATTACACCCCCTGTCATGAAGAATAAAGAATGAAAATGATTTATTTTGCTAAGAAAGTAATACGTTTACAGTTTCAGTAACAATTAGAATATATTATATTAGAATATAGAATATTAGAATATATTATATTAGAATATAGAATATTCCGCTTATTTTTAGTACCACTTTTATTTCAATCAATCTATTTCTTCATTGATCTTTATTTTGAATCCATTCTTTTATTTTAACAACATCCTTTTATTCAGCTTTCTACCTATTTATTTAAATTGTTTCCTTAGCTTTACCTTTCTATTTCTTCTTTTTATCTATTTATCATTTAATCTTTCATTTCTTCAATTCATCCATTTCTCCAATTCTTCATCCAATATATATATATAGAGTTTTTATACAAAGGAAGGAGTTTTTATACAAAGTACGAGTTTTTATACCAAGGAACGAGTTTTTATACAAAGGAACGAGTTTTTATACAAAGGAACGAGTTTTTATACAAAGGAAGGAGTTTTTGCCACTAAGTCAAATTTTCTTTGATCTTTCCACCTTAGATTATTTGATATAAACATATTTCAGCTCTTGATATTAAAGGACTACGACATTGGGTTGCAAATCAGATTTTGTGACAAAAACTCAAAATTCTTTTTAACTGTTTTTTCCAAAACATATGCTTTAAAATTTAAAAAAAAAATTTAATTTAATTATTTAAAAAATATTACCTTTTTAGAAGAAGTCAAAGCTAGCAGTAAATAGTCATCTAAGTTCTAGGACGATCATATAAATGTAAATATGCGCCGCGTATACAGATATAACCGGACAGGCGGAACAATTTCCGTTTACAGTCCCCCTTATATAACTCTCTTGTACTCTCTGATACTCTCTGAAGCTCTCTGAAACTCTCTGATGCTCTCTGATACTCTCTGATGCACTATTATACATGTCTGATACTATCTGATACTCTCTGATGCTCTCTGATACTCTCTGATGATATTGTCAAACATGCTTTCCGATACTTTTGATACTTTTTCAAATGAAACAAGTTTGAATGAATAAAGAAACTAATAAAATGATGAGAGTTTAGATGAAGATATGAACAATGAAAATATAATAATATGTATGAGTGTAGAAACCAATGTAAGGATGGATGAAAATAGAAACTAATGAAAGAATGAAAGTATGGATAAATATATAAACAATGAAAGGATGAAATTATGGATGAATAAAGAAACCAATGAAAGGATGAAAGTAAGGATAAATCTATGAAAGGATGAACATATGGTTAAATATTTAAATAAGTGAAATAGTGAAATTATTAATAAATAAATGTTAATAAATTATGAATATAGAAACGTTAACCAGATGAATATTTGAGTCCCAGAATTAAAATCGAAAAAACGTTCTATTATTAACACACACAAACACATATTTAAATGGTGTGAGCTGAGTAACTAAAGAACGTGTTTCTATTGATTTAACTTTCCTATTACTGGTTGAAACCAAGGCTTGTACCTTGGTTCGATAATATAGAAGGGTCTTCAAGTTGAATAATCAAGAAGGGGGGGCGGGATATTTTGAAAATAGGGTCATAAAAATGCTTAGTTTTCAAACAAAAATAGTTTTAAATCAATTAATGTTAAATGGTGAATTTCAAACCATATTTTGTAAAATTTTTGTTAAATTCAGTTTTTTCATTGGATAAAAGAAATGCATTATTTTTTAATTGGATTTTTTCTTGAAATATTCTAGCTTAACAGACGGCCTCGGACAAGCTTTGATGCATGCAACTAACTCAACATACTAAATGGAATTGGAAAAACTATTGTCGATAGAAATAATTATCGAAAAAATATAATTACAGCTTTTGTGAATGATTTTGTCCTTCAACATTTTCTAAAAAACTTCAGTTTTTCAGTTATTATCGGTTTCACATATTAAATTAAACGTATTTATATTTTAGATAGCAAAATATCTTATTATAAAATTAAAGCAGAGTGGGAGAATGTTACGTCTTGCAAGGGTGTGACGGTGTGTTTGCGTACGTAAGTAGCCAATACCCACTGAACGAGCCGCACAGTTATCCAACAATGATGAGACTGTAAAGACGACCTGAAACTCTCGCCGATCTCGAAGTAAAACTCAGTCCACTACCTTGAAAATAGTCTTTAAATGGCTTATTTAATTTTTTTAAGACATGTTTACAGTTACTGAGAATCGTGAATATAAGGAAACAGACAGTATAAATTCCGTACAGTCGTCTCTACAGTCTCATACCCTATATCTGATGATGTAAACCTATAATATTTTAAACTTTGTTGGTTTGGAATATTGAGGTATACAACTTCAGATTAATGAATATATATGTATGTATGAAACTCTTTAAATGACGGAGCATTTTAAATTACGTGAATGTAATAAATATCGTGCACCACTTGAACTACGTTGTACATCATTAATTATCTACGTTTGTAAATAGCTTCGTAAAACCCATATCTTAACTGCGCTGTAAATAACTACTTAACATGATTAGCTTAATTATGTTGTATATAACGATGTAAAACTTGTAATTACGTTGATTAACTTTAACTTGTAACATAGAAACCTCAAATAGATTTAGGTAGAAATAGACTTCGCTTTCACTACTGCGAGAGCGTAATTCTTCTTGATTAGCAAACAAGAAGCGTCATGAATCACTTTCTTGAAAGATAGAACTAGATTGGATATTGATACAGATAAAGTTGTGTCCGGATTGACATTGATAGAATTATGGAACCAAATAGCTCTTATGCCTAATCAACTATAACGAGAGGGAACGAGGATAATACAGATAAAGTTGTGTCCGGATTGACAATGATATTAAAGTATTACTGAACTGAATAGCTCTTATGCCCCGTCAACCATTACGAGAGGGAACGAGGATAAATACAGATAAATTTGTGTCCGGATTGACAATGATAGTAAAGTATTACTGAACTGAATAGCTCTTATGCCTAATCAACTATAACGAGAGGGAACGAGTATAAATACAGATAAAGTTGTGTAAGGATTGACAATGATATCAAAGTATTACTGAACTGAATAGCTCTTATGCCCCGTCAACCATAACGAGAGGGAACGAGGATAAATACAGATAAAGTTGTGTCCGGATTGACATTGATAGTAAAGTATTACTGAACTGAATAGCTCTTATGCCTCGTCAACCATAACGAGAGGGAACGAGTATTGATGCAGATAAAGTTGTGTCCGGATTGACAATGATAGTGAAGTATTCTTGGAACCGTGAATTCCTGATTGAGTTGTACCTGGATTGATACAGGTATGAAAGACTTCTATGGAATAGGGCATTTACTACATGGAGAGTTACTTAATTCTCTATTTTTTAAAATACGGAACCTGCATTCAAGATAATCCGGTCCATGGAGAGTTACTTAATTCTCTATTTTTTAAAAATACGGAACCTGCGTTCAAGATAATCCGGTCCATGGTGCCCCGCACCACTGATTCCCTTGCAGTAGAAGAAAGACCTAAATAATAATGTAAATAATATTAGGAATGGATTTCTAACTTTAGTTTATTTTATCTTAAACACCTGATGTAACATGATGTTAAACTTTAGTAAAAAGTGCGCGTAATATTAAAATCTTATTTATTTCCCATCCCACCTCGATTCTCTTATTTAACCCTATTCCTGCTGTGAGCTTTCTAATGATGTATCATTTGTCATATTTGGACATAAAACATGGGATTTAGAGGGGGGGGGGTCAAATTGACCCCCCCCCCCAGCGTATCCTGGTTTTCAAGTACCCCAGCAGGGATAGGGTTAAAAGCTTTGAATTTCTAAATTAAAAACCTGATCAATTCGTTTTTTTCGTGCTTTAAGTAAAAACTAAAAAGAGAGAAGACGAGGTCTTAAAATCGTACCCGGAAATTTGACCCACACCTTCTAGTGTGAGGCAATATTTAATACTACATGACATTTTTTGAGCCTTTATAGTAATAGCTCGAAATAAAGAGAAATCTTTCCAATTTTCGTGAGAATAATGTTTTCTGGAAAATCCCGAACGGTTTTTTTTATTAAACACAGTTTTTTATTCCTCGAAATGCTAATTTTTTTCAAAATTTTCCTCACCACCATATTTTCTGAACATTCCGTAGCATTTAAACTTGTTCTAAGCTCTATCATAGAAATAGCAGATTTTTAATCTCTTGAAATAATTATTTAAAAAAAAAATTTCAACATTTTTGTGAAAAAGTTTATCCAACCTGTTGATGGCCGGGGTAGCATCAAACAGTTCATCCATATTAATCACATCTCGAATACCCTAAATAACAAATTAAACCAAAAATGGAAAATTAAAATTAAAATCATTTTAATAATAAAAAAGAAACATTTCTAAGTTTTTTACATCATTGATCGGAGAATGTATTTGCGTTGGGTTTCTTTCTTCTATATTTTACAAAATCAAACATTGCATAAATAATAAAATCTACACGTCAGAAAAAATTGACCATTTCTATGTTATTCCACCCGGTTACCAGAAAAGCTGTTACATTGAACATATTTTTACTTATTTCTAAAAGAAAAAAAAAGAAAATTATGGTTCGAACGTTGAGGATTGAATTGTCGTTTAAATCTACAATCTGGAAACATTTACTACTATATATGGATGGATTATAATTGTACTAGTCCTCAAACAACCATGTAATGTAACCATCGTCGTGTTTCAGAAATATTAGCTCGGCCTAATCTGCAGATTAGAGTGAATATAATGTATCCAAATCTGCAGATTTAGAGTGAATATAATGTATCCTAATCTATCTGTGATACTAAAATCTCACCCTTGAAACCTCAGCTAGAGATAGATATCCATTTCCATTCACATCAATACTTGTCCACAATTCAGATCTCTGCGCCTTCTCTTCCTAAAATAATTTTGCTTTTGGAAAAAATATTTGTCATCTATATAAAAATTTGGCTTGTCTGTCTGTCTTTTTGTTTGTCTGTCTGTCTGTTTGTATCCAATAAACGTCAAAACGGCTGAACCGATCGGGCCCAAATTTTTTGTGGGACATCTATGGACCCCAGAGAAGGTTTATGAAAAATCAAAATTTCAAATATTTGTCTCCATCAAAATTCGATCGTCATTAAATTTTTAAAAATTTTGAAAATCCGCGAAATTTTTTGTGAAAATCCGCGAATTATTTTTGTTTTGTTTTACGATGTACACAAAGAGAACATGTTCACAATTAATTTAGAAGATGGGCGCGAAGCGCCCTCTAAGGCTAGAAAGAAGGGCGCGAAGCGCCTTGAATTTCTAGTTTATAAATATTTTATCATAAGTTATTCACATTGTAAGCTTTTATTTATTTACTTCAAAAATTATTTTGAAAATACCATGATTAAAAATGATTTTTGAAAATACCATGATTAAAAAACTTATTTTGAAAATACCATGATTCCCTTTATCATAATAATTATCTTTCACACTATCCCTTTACTATAATGTTTGTTTTGCACACTCTTCTTTTATTATAATGTTTGTTTTGCACATTCTCCCTTTATTATAATGTTTGTTTTGCAAACTCTCTCTTTTTTATAATGTTTGTTTTGAACACTCTACCTTTATTATAATGTTTGTTTTGCACACTCTACCTTTATTATAATGTTTGTTTGCACACTCTCCTTTTATTATAATGTTTGTTTTGCACACTCTCCCTTTATTATAATGTTTGTTTTGCACACTCTACCTTTATTTTATTATATCATTTGTATTGCGCACTCTCCCTTTATCATAGTGCTTGCGTTGCGCACTCTCTCTTTATTATATTCTTTGCGTTGCGCATTCTCCCTTTATCATAGTGCTTCCGTTGCGCACTCTCCCTTTATCATAGTGCTTGTTTTGCGCATTCTCTCTTTATTATATTGCTTGTGTTGCGCATTCTCCTTTTATCATATTATTTGTACTATTTTTATTATATTGCTTGTTTTGCGCACTTTCCCTTTATATTTTGATTTTTGGCTTATGTTGAAAACTATCCCTTTGTTATTATATTGTGTTTTTTACAACATCTGTTTCTTTTATAGTTTTTTTTTCACACTCTTACTTTATTATATTATTTGTATTGCACACTAACCCTTCATTAAATATTTTGTGGTGGTCCACCCTCTCTCTTTATTATACTTCATTTATGCTCCAAACTTGCCCTTTATTATCTTCACAATCTTGCACAATATCCCTTTACTATATTAATTTTGTTTCGCACTCTCCCTTTATTATATTGATTGTGTTTCACACACTCCCTTTATTATATTGAATGTGTTGTCCACACTCCCATTATCATATTGAATGTGTTACACACTCTCCCTTTATTATATTAATTGTGTTACACACACTCCCTTTATTATATTTATTGTGTTACACACACTCCCTTTATTATATTTATTGTGCTACACACCCTCCCTTTATTATATTTATTGTGTTACACACCCTCCCTTTATTATATTTATTGTGTTACACACCCTCCCTTTATTATATTTATTGTGTTACACACCCTCCCTTTATTATATTTATTGTGTTACACACCCTCCCTTTATTATATTAATAGTCTTGCACACGTACCCTTTATCTTATTGTTTGTGTTGCACACTCTCCCTTTATTATATTATTTTGTTGCCCACATTAATTATCTTTATTATATTGAACGTATTGCACACACCCCTTTTTAAATCTTTGTGCTTCACACTCTCCCTTTATTAAATTGTTTGTGTGGGTACTCTCCCTTTATTAAATTGTTTGTGTTCGTACTTTCCTTTTATTTTTATTTAGTGTTAAACAGTCTCCCTAAACATATTTTTTGTATTGCAAACTCTATTTTTAATATTTCATTATACAAAATATGGGACTTTTATTGCAAAGGAATTGGGTTTTTGCCACAAAATCAAATTTTCCATATTTCTGTGCAACCTATTATAGTAAACCTTTGATACTTCATAAATAAATTATTTCAAGACAGAATAACAAAACTTATCTTTCAAATCCTAATAACTAAAAAGTCTCCAAGTCCTCCAAGCAGCTGTTAGTAAATTGTACATATAAGGATTTTCTCAAATATTTGATAACAAAACTAAATTGTTAACATGGTTTTTCGTATGCCCCCTTTATAAAATATATAAACTCTCTTTTCTTCTTTATTTCTTAAGTTTTTCAAAAAGAATATTTATTACACTTTTTATTTTGTTTGTTTTTTCACCTCATTTTTCTGATACGGAAGCTTAGCATTCAATTCCTCCCAGTCTACGCTCATTTTTATAATGGTATATTCTGAAGGGGGTTTAAACTGTTAGATATATCTATCATCAACTTACTTACAAATAGCTATCAGGCAGTTTATAGCGTCATATCCAATTTGAATCAAACCATTTGCGTATGGATGTGTATGATATCCCGTATGTATATTCAACATAGCGGCAAATCTTGATGTATTTTCATAAAAAGATGCTTCATATATGACCATTGTGTATATAGTAAATAAACTGAATTCTTGTATCACTCTTAAATTTTATAATCTATATATCTGATGGTGTGAACCTTTGATATTTAAATCTTAGATTATTTGATCTTTCAAAATTCATTCTTTGAAATATCAAGGTTCACTACATCGGATTGCAAAGATTAGAAGGATTAGAATATCAGAGTTTGTGCCAAAAACTTAGTTCCTTTCATCGACAGAAATATTTCATGATAAGAGGATATTTCGAAAGAGAAATTTTTTTTTTCAAAAATTATCTTTTTTGATATATTCTACACTGTTATTTCTATAATATAAGAGAACAGATATATTTTTCTGTGTCTACAAAATGTCCAGTCTATGAAATGTCCATCCATAAAATGTCCGTCTTTTCATGAAATCTTTGAAATTAAATTTGCTGGAAATGAAAAGCCTTTGAATTTAATTTCTTTTCGAAATAGGCATGATACCAGTTAAAAAGAAACTGTTGTGAATGAAGGTTAAATTTTAATCTGTCATATTTGAAGCAATGTAATGTTTTCCAAGTCAGCAAAAGTCAGCAGGTTAAATTAAGTATTTATTGAAAAGGCCCGTTCAACAATATCATAAAACACAAAATTCAAAACACAATATACTATCATCAATTTTAGTGAAATCTTCTTGGACGTCTTAATCCAAAAAGATTTGTGCTGTGAGATAAATAAATAAAATTGATTGATTTATTGATGGATTTCTCTACTTTTTCTTCCGGTTTCCCCTGGAGCTATCATCTCCTTCTCCGTCATGATCTCCGTGTCCTTCTCCATGTCCGTGCTGACCTTCTCCAACATGTCCAGCTTCCTTATCCTCTTCTCCGTGCCCCTCTCCGGCAGTATGGTCCTCGGTGACCTGATCCTCCATATGGTCCTTCTCCTGTTGGAATACGTTGTGAGACATTTTTCTGAAAATATTCAAACTTTTAGGAATTTACAGAAAACGAGATTTAAAAAAACGCTATTTTTGGAAGCTCAAAATTGTAAACAATACAAAGGAATTGATTTTTTGGAACAAAATCAAATATTTGAACCTCAATATCTTTAGAACTCGATGTTGTAAACCTTTGATATTTCAAACTCAGATTATTTCATCTAACAGAATTCATAATTTGAAATATCTAAGGTCTGCAACATTTGGTTCCGAAGATATTGTGATTAGAAAATCAGAGTTTGTGGCAAAGACTCAATTCCTTTCTAATTTCTAAATCGTTGTAATCTGATGATGTAAACCTATAATATTTTAAACTTTGTTGGTTTGGAATATTGAGGTATACAACTTCAGATTAATGATTAGAAATTATAGTTTGAGAGGAGTAATCAGTTGCTTTTGCTTCATACATATGACGGCGCAAAACTTAAAATTGCATTTCTTCTTATATATTTGATTCTAAATATTTTGCTAAAATTTTAAATATGATTTATGGGATTTTAAAAAAAGTGTGCCAGTGCATTATAGAAATATTTTTTTATTTACATTATCTTATGACAATAGGAAAAAAATAGTTTTTCCAAAAAAATTTCTCGAAGTGGTCCAACAAATTATACCAATACAAATAGCAAAGAAACAAAAAAAATATTCTTTTAATGCAATAACTAAATTGAATGAGATTTAGACCATAAATCGTAATTAATAAATTGCAATGTTTGATAAAACTAAAATACTACTAAAACTAAAAATAATAGAAGAAATGCTTTGCAGAGTAGAAAACAATAACGTCGAGGTTTAAAAGTGAAAATAAGGAAAGTTTACAGTTTATGGAGAGGGNGGGAAGAAATACTAGAAGAGGATATAACCTTCTTGGTAAGCTCTCAACTGAGAACTGTACCTATCCCTAGGTTTGAAATTGGAACGTAAACTCTAGAAGGACGAGGATCCGGAATCTGGTATTTACCGGTTCCCGAGGACAAGCTTACCCTTATATTCAATATCCAAACCTACCATGGCTTTCTCATGCAGAGCCAAGCCTCGTTGAACTTTACGGTAAAGTTTAAAAATGCTTCCATTATTGATTTCCAACCCTAGTTACGAGCCAGCTTATTAACAACTCGTTAAACACAATTATTTTCAGCAGTTAGCAAACCTTCATTTTTTATCATGTTGTTTAAAGTTTTAAATTGCCTACTGCAAAGGTACTGGGGGGCAACAGCTTGGTTTGATTTAAATTTAAAAATATATTTTAAACTTTTAAAACGTTCCACAAAGTTTTTATCAAAGAAACGAGTTTTTATACAAAGGAACGAGTTTTTATACAAAGGAACGAGTTTTTATACAAAGGAACGAGTTTTTATACAAAGGAANATATATAGTCCATCCAATATATATATATAGTCCATCCAATATATATATATAGTCCATCCAATATATATATATAGTCCATCCAATATATATATATAGTCCATCCAATATATATATATAGTCCATCCAATATATATATATAGTCCATCCAATATATATATATAGTCCATCCAATATATATATATAGTCCATCCAATATATATATATAGTCCATCCAATATATATATATAGTCCATCCAATATATATATATAGTCCATCCAATATATATATATAGTCCATCCAATATATATATATAGTCCATCCAATATATATATATAGTCCATCCAATATATATATATAGTCCATCCAATATATATATATAGTCCATCCAATATATATATATAGTCCATCCAATATATATATATAGTCCATCCAATATATATATATAGTCCATCCAATATATATATATAGTCCATCCAATATATATATATAGTCCATCCAATATATATATATAGTCCATCCAATATATATATATAGTCCATCCAATATATATATATAGTCCATCCAATATATATATATAGTCCATCCAATATATATATATAGTCCATCCAATATATATATATAGTCCATCCAATATATATATATAGTCCATCCAATATATATATATAGTCCATCCAATATATATATATAGTCCATCCAATATATATATATAGTCCATCCAATATATATATATAGTCCATCCAATATATATATATAGTCCATCCAATATATATATATAGTCCATCCAATATATATATATAGTCCATCCAATATATATATATAGTCCATCCAATATATATATATAGTCCATCCAATATATATATATAGTCCATCCAATATATATATATAGTCCATCCAATATATATATATATATAGTCCATCCAATATATATATATATATATAGTCCATCCAATATATATATAGTCCATCCAATATATATATATAGTCCATCCAATATATATATATAGTCCATCCAATATATATATATAGTCCATCCAATATATATATATATATAGTCCATCCAATATATATATATATATATAGTCCATCCAATATATATATAGTCCATCCAATATATATATAGTCCATCTCATATATATATAGTCCATCCTATATTTATATAGTTAATCCAATATATATATATATAGTCCATCCAATATATATATATAGTCCATCCAATATATATATATATAGTCCATCCAATATATATATATAGTCCATCCAATATATATATATATATAGTCCATCCAATATATATATAGTCCATCCAATATATGTATATAGTCCATCCAATATATATATATAGTCCATCCAATATATATATATAGTCCATCCAATATATGTATATAGTCCATCCAATATATATATAGTCCATCCAATATATATATAGTCCATCCAATATATATATTTATAGTCCATATAGTCCATCTATTCATCTATCGTCCACATATTGATCTGTCCATATTTCTATTTTTATTCAATTATTTTTTATATCTTTATATATCTATATATCTATCTTTCTATCTATCTATCTATCTATCTACCTATCCTTCTATCTATCTATTTATCTATCTATCTATCTATCTATCTATTTATCTATATATCTGTATATCTATCTTACTATCTATCTATCTATCTATCTATCTATCCTTCTTTCTATCTCTATATCTATCTATCTATCTATCTATCTATCTATCTATCTATCTATCTATCTATCTATCTAAACATTCTTCTTTATCCATCTATACGTATTTCTATGAGAACATTCTTCCATCAACCTATCCGTATATATCTATCTGAATATTATTCTATCCATATATTCATGTATCTATCTAAATATTCTTCTATCCATCTAACGGTATATTTAACTAAATATTTTTCTATCTATCTATCCGCATATATAGCCACATATTCTTCTATACATCTATCTGCATATTATCTAAATATTCTTCTATCCATCTAGCGGTATATTTAACTAAATATTCTTCTATCTATCTATCCGCATATATAGCCACATATTCTTCTATACATCTATCTGTATATTATCTAAATATTCTTCTGTCCATCTAACGGTATATTTAACTAAATATTCTTCTATCTATCTATCCGTATATCTGTCCAAATATTCTTCTATCTATCTATCCGTATAAATATCCAAATATTCTTCTATACATTTATCTGTATATCTAAATAAATACCAAGTTTGGTTTACCCTTTATCAACGATTCGTTTCCTACCCTACTTAAATATGTATCAAGCTTTTGTCAGGCAAACCGTTGACATTTGCTGGAACACGAAACATTAAACATTTACACACTAACCTTATACTTCAACTAGCTGACTTTTCATGAGTTTTATATTCATTGATTTCTATCATTAACTAACCTTTCTTCATCTAGCTGACTTTTCATGAGTTTTATATTCATCGATTTCTATCATTAACTAACCTTACTTCATCTAGCTGACTTTTCATGAGTTTTATATTCATTGATTTCTATCATTAACTAACCTTTCTTCATCTAGCTGACTTTTCATGAGTTTTATATTCATTGATTTCTATCATTAACTAACCTTACTTCATCTAGCTGACTTTTCATGAGTTTTATATTCATTGATTTCTATCATGGTTCTTCTAGCTGACTAGTTTATCATTTTTATATTCTTTGATTTCTATCATTAATTAACCAAACTTCAACCAGTAACTCATTTTATATTCTTTGATTTTTTTCATTAACTAGCCAAGCTTCAACGAGCTGACTAGTTTATAATTAATTTTTATATTCTTTTATTTCTTTCATAATGACTAACCCTGCTTGATCCATCTGACTTCTTATAATTCTTTAATTTCTAATATGAATGTACTACATTAGTGATAAGTATACATGCATTAGACTCAATTTCAAATTGCGTGTCCGAATCCGAATTGTACTCTTTTAAGCTGTTATGACCAAGGTTACCGAAGAATTTCTTATTTTTCTTGCTGAAAATAGATTGTCAGGACACTCGCAGTTCAATACGATATGTTTCTTTTAATTGATTTAAAATTGCACAATTGAGAAAAGGAAAAATCGAAAGGACACTATTTATTCTCCATTAGTTTAAATTGGGACCCTTTCTGATACGAACACGCAAACCAATATCTTTATAGCTAACTGGGTTATGTGGATTTAAAAAAAATTATTCGAAGCAACATTTATTAAACTTACTTATAGTCTTTCTTGGAGCTTCGCGTCTATCTTATATTTCAATTGTGAACATTTTCTCTTTGTATACATTGAAAAACAAAACCAGAAAAGTTCGCGGATTTTTTTAAAAAAAACGTATATTTTCAAATCTTATGAAAATCTTATTTTATTGGAGGTCAATTTTTGAGATTTTGATCATTCATAAACCTTCCCTGGGGTCACGTGAGGCCCCACAAAAATTTGGACCCGATCGGTTCTGCCGTTTTGACGTTTATTGGATACAAACAAACAAATAGACATCTAGACAAGCTAAATTTACATATATATGTAGATGGCTAGTTTTTTTTTTACTTCAAACGTTAACTATTCTTGGTTTTTAAAAGTTCAAATTTGTTCAATGTTTTTCTTTCCACAATATAGTATTTTCAATTTTTGTTTCCCTACCGATCCGACTATAATATAGTTTTCTATCTATTTCCATGTAATGTCAACTTTAAATTATTTATGTGATTCTTTTTTTCTAAATATTGTAAACACAGATAAACTGCTTCAAATATATTTATTTTATTGGGGGCTGGAGTAAGAAAATACATAGATTTCTGTGGTATTTCTAATCATTGATTAGGGAAATTTTTAGTAACCATACTTCCATGATTCTAACATAATAGCTTGATTCAATCAGAATTCCCTGATTCTAAGATGGTTTCTTAATTCTAACACATGGTTCCTTGATTCTTACTTAATAGATTGATTTAATCAGAGTTCCCTAATTCTAAGATGGTTTCTTAATTCTAACATGGTTTCTTCATTCTTACTTAATAGATTGATTTACTTATAGTTCTCTGATTCTAACAGTGTTTCTTGATTCTTACATGGTTCCCTGATTCGAACATGATTCCTTGATTCTAACATGGTTTCTTGATTCTAACACATGGTTCCTTGATTCTAACATGGTTCCATGATTCTAACATGGTTCCCTGATTCGAACATGATTCCTTGATTCTAACATAGTTCCCTGATTCGAACATGGTTCCTTGATTCTAACATGGTTTCTTGATTCTAACACATGGTTCCTTGATTCTAACATGGTTCCATGATTCTAACATGGTTCCATGATTCTAACATAGTTCCCGGACTCGAACATGGTTCCTTGATTCTAACATGGTTTCTTGATTCTAACACATGGTTCCTTGATTCTAACATGGTTCAATGATTCTAACATAGTTTCCTGATTAGAACATGGTTCCTTGATTTTAACATGGTTTTTTTATTCTAACATGGTTCTTTGATTCTAACATGGTTCCTTGATTCTAACATGGCTTCCTGATTCTAACATGGTTCCTTGATTTTAACATGTTTTTTTTTATTCTAACATGGTTCCTTGATTCTAAAATGGCTTCCTGATTCTAACATGGTTCCTTGATTCTAACATAATTCCTTGATTCTAACATGGTTCCTTGATTCTAACATGGCTTCCTGATTCTAACATGGTTCCCTGATTCTAACATGGTTCCTTGATTCTAACATGGTTCCTTGATTCTAACATAGTTCCTTGATTCTACAGTGAAACCCTTAATAACGAATACATCGGAAGAATTATCAAATGTCGTCTTGACAATTATTCAATGAGTTTTATACTATATTACGTAAATTTCAGTATTTGCGAAAATAAATAAATAGCCATGAATATGCGGGAACAGTTTTAAAGAGTTCCATATAATCATTTAATTAAAAAACTAAATATCTGCAACATTCCATTATCAGAAAGTGAAGAATACGACATTCGATGAATTCTTTCGATGTATTCGTTATTAAGGGTTTCACTGTAACATAGTTCCTTGATCCTAACATGGATCTTTGATTCTAATGGTTTCTAGGTTCTAATATGTTTTCTTTATTCTAACATGGTTCCTTGATTCTAATATGGATCCTTGATTCTAACATTGATACTTGATTCTAATATGGTTCCTTGGTTCTAAGTCTAACATGGTTTCTTGATTCTAACATAGATCTTTGATTCTAACATGGTTCCTCGACTCTAACATGGTTCCTTGGTTCTATCATGTTTTCTTGATTCTAACATGGTTCCTTGATTGTAATATGGTACCTTAATTCTAAAATGCTTCTTTGATTCTAAAATGCTTCTTTGATTCTAAAATAGTACCTTGATTCTAAAATGTTCCTTGATTCTAACATGGATCCTTGATTTTAACACGGTTTCATGATAACATGGTACCTTGATGCTAATATGGTTTCTTGATTCTAATATGGTTTCTTGATTCTAACATGGTTCCTTGATTTTTACACGGTTTCATGATAACATGGTACCTTGATGCTAATATGGTTTCTTGATTCTAACATTGTTCCTTGATTCTAACATTNCTTGAGAATTAAGTTCCGACCTACAAAAAGTGCCCATCCGATCTACGAAAAATGCCCATCCGACCTACGAAAAATGCCCATCCGCCCTACAAAAAGTGCCCATCTGACCTACAAAATTGAGTGGCTGTCCGACGCTACAATTAATTATTTCATACCCTACTGCGCTATGGCATGACAAAAGCTGCTGTTAGGTCGGATGGGCAAGAAGATATGCCCATCTGACCTACAGCTGTCGTAGGTCAGATGTTGCAGTAGGTCGGATGGGCAGTATAGCGGATGGACAATAGGACGGATGGGCAGTAGAGCAGATCAACATTACCGTAGGAAGGAAACCCTGAATATGAGAAAAAGGCTAAACAAAATTTCGTCGTCAGCCATGGTTTACAATGTCGTCTTCGGATAATTTTTATTTTAAATTAATTTTTCAAACAATTCACAGCCTTATGGGAAAAGGCCATTCTTAAAGTATCTGTGTGATTTAAGTCATCTTTCATGTTTCTGAATTAATTCTATATTGCCAGATTTAAGATAAAAAAATAAAAATGTTTTAATTTTGTCGTCTGTCGAGAACGCAGGCGGCCATTGATAAGCCACAACATCTTCCCTTCATACCACATACAGGGTTACCAACAAAGGATGAGACTTCTGAGACGACTTTCGGACTTTATACTGCCTGTTTCTTTAAATTAATGATTTCTTGCTATTGTACACATTCAAGGCGCAGATGACTTATTTAATCCCGTGTATAGTCATAGAGCTCATGTGTATAGTCTCATCCTTTGTGGGTAACCCTGTATGTTAGCTTTTTGTGTCTCCCGGCCGCCATAAGTTACAACTGTTCGGTCTTCCATGCCCTAACCTTTGAGTGTTATGGCAATAATTACGTTTTCAAATTTAGTGCACTGAAATTGCGATTTTCCTTGATCCAGCCCGAATTTGTTGTGGCAATGTCGTGAAAAGATTTGCCCAGAAAATCCTTTTTAATTTTGAAATCTTTAAGTGTAAAAAAAATCAGCAACGTTTAAAGTTTTATATTTGCGATAAAAAAATGGTCGCATGGAAAGAAACATTTAAACGCTAATGTTCCTCTAAAAATTGACGCTAATGTTTCTAAAAATTGAAGGCAGTCCCATAATTGGAAAGCCAAAAAATCTAACCTAAGCATAAACAATTAAACCATCCCATAATATTGAACACTCAAGAGTCAAAATCAAATTCAAATATACATAATTACTTACAATAAATATATTCTGGGAAACAATTGTTTTTACCCCTCCCCAAAAGTAAATAGAGTATAGTTTGAATTTTTTATCAAATTTTCTTTGGAAGAAACCACAATACGAGATTGTTTTTTTTAAATGTAAGATTATTTGGGTCATGATCCATGACATACAAACAAACAGATCCAAACAGAGATTACAACTTTGTATATATATATATAACAGATCCAAACAGAGATTACAACTTTATATATATATATATATTATATAACAGATACAGTTGCAAAAATGTTATGCACGTTTCTAAATTAATTATTTAACGAAGACGACTTTTATTCCGTCTTTTTCTGATAATAACTGTAAATACCAAATCAAAGACCAAAACAAGTTGTTTTATTAACTGTTATTTTGTCAAATATTTTGACGCGGACCGGCTTCCCAACCATCCGCCCAGTCCGTAATTTGAACCCAAAACCAATACTCATCCTAACCAGCAGAGGCTCTAAACCCATTACAGTCAAACCGGTCGGTACCCCATACGAGTCTACCATAACCCCAATCTATTCAGTACCGAAAAGACCCTTATCAGGTGTAGACGTGAATATCCAGCGCTATTAATAAGCCCTCTCTGGGTTAGATAGAAGGATGAGTAACTGGACTGGTGAAAACTCGACTGAGTTGTTATGTATTGAATGCAAAACTATTGTTTCTGCGATAGGAGAAGGATGGAAGAGAGAGAAAATTACAGAAAATATCATACCCGGCATTTTTCTCATCATTCTAGCCATTAGGTAAGCAAAATACTTAGTGAACCAACCACATCAATTTAAAGTAAACTTTACGTTCAATTAAAATATTATCTACAAGTTTTTTTTAACAAAAATCCTTTTATTGAAAGGCTATTCAGAAGAACGAAAATATGTTGAAATTCGATTATATAAACAAATGAATTCGATTATATAACCAAATGAATTCGATTATATAACCAAATGAATTCGATTATATAACCAAATGAATTCGTATTCTCATTTTAATAAATTTGGGTAATTACTTCGCATTTTTCGCACTTTTTTCGGATTAATTTATTAGTGATTCAAAGGAATTGAGTCTTTGCATCAAACTTAAATTTTCAAATCTCAATATCTTTGCAACCTGGTGGACCTTTTAAATATTTGAGGTCTACGACGCAAAGATATAAATATAAAAAACAAGAAAGACTCAATTTCATTACGACAATGTATATTAAATTTTGGGACTTTTCCAAAAATAAAATTAAATCAGACAGAGAAATAGATTTATTTATTTTTTACATTATATTTGATAAATCGTTCGTTATCCATGTGTATTTACATTGTATTGTGTATTTACATTGTATTGTGTATTTACATTGTATTGTGTATTTACATTGTATTGTGTATTTACGATTTTGACATTTTGGGTTCATTTTTCAACATTTCACTTTTAGATTATAGAATTTTTAGAATAGTTGAAAAACTTCATTTTATCGTTTTCCAAGGAATTTATGAAAGTTGTCACAAAACGTCCCACCCAACAGGCCCATAGATTTCATTTTATTATCATATCTGTAAACTTGTAAATAATGAAGAGGAATTTAAGATTGAGATAAAGATAATTGATACTGCTTAAATTTTTATCCGTAAATCGGTCTCAAAACATTTATTTTATCATTGTTTTAAAAATCACGATACAAAATTATTAACAATTTGTATATTTCAGACTGAGCTACGTATATCTGTTCAGGACGAACTCTCTGAAGAAACATATCGGAAGATCAAGGTGCGGAGTGTTAATGAGCCTGCCCTGGGACGGAATTGTATTTCTTGGATCAGCTGGAACAGGGATAATCCTGACGGTTCTACTCTCCGAGAACCAGGAGAAGACGGCTCTTAATGATATCTATCTCGTCACATTCTACGTTGCCTTCTCTCTCTATGGAATTATCGACATCGTGACACATTTCCGGAAAGGATTAAAGTGTGAAAAATTGGTGAAAACATTCGCTTTAGGTACAGCATTGGTTGTAGAGGCTGTGCTGTACATTCTTAGAGTTGAAGATGGAAACATGGCGAACATTTTACAAATGGCCACCATTGTTGTTGCAGCATTGTCTGCTTTTGGCGCATTTTTCGATGCACACGCAAATATTGTGTTGGGGATATCTCTACTCCTACAAGGAACTTGGCTTCTACAAATCAGCGGAGAAATCAAGGAAACCGAATGGATTCAGATTTATTTCTCATGGCACCTCATCATCATTTCCTTAGTTTTCTTCATCCTTATCCTGGTTCGTGAAAGCGCAGACAAGACAGGAGATTTGGATAATAATAATTCAAAGTTTTCCTCTCTCAAATCCAAGATCTCCAACCCTTCCACTCATTTGACGGACACGGAGCACAACTCCTTGGATAACTCCTTCCTCCAGAAGCAGATGCCTGTCTACTCCAATACTGAGATCCCGAGTGGATTATCCGTCTTACCGAACCCAGTAAACCTGTCTCCAACACCCTGCTCCGCACTGAGTATGGTATCCAACCTGGATGAGAAGGAAGGAGTTGAATCGGAACAAATTCGTCAAAGTGAGATGAGAAGTAGTGTTAGACCAAACCTCTCTCAAATTCAGAATAAAAACAAAATAGTTACTTCTTCCCTGCAGCAATATAGAAATAACCATGTTTCTGATCCTGCTGCATCCTCCCACAATACAACAAGGCATAGTTCAGTATCTCCAGGTCTACCTAGAGACTGTGTATCCTATCCTAGTTCTAGTAACCCTGTAGTATCTCCAGCTCCTAGCACCACCAGCACCTCTCTATCCCTGGTGAAGAACGAGGAGGGTTCTTCTCCTGATCAGATAGTTTACGAGAACACTCATCTAGCTCCGACACCGAGTATTATAGAATCAGAACCTTTTGATAGAATCTCTCCTATAGATGAATACAACACGTTGAGCAGACATGTTCAATCCGTCAGAGCTTCAATTAAACTTAAAGAGAGTAATATTGTGTAACTTCGTTTCTGTAAACTGTACTATTTTTGTATTAAAAGCATATATAACACATTTTAAATAAATTATTTACAAGTAACAATTTTTTTATACTTTTAGATACTTTTTTGGCATTTTTTACATCCTGATTGAAGCAAGGGAGAAACGCAATTTTATTTATCAAGTTATACTACTTGTTTCCTGAGTACTACTTTATTCCCCAGCCGCCTATTTTTTACCTAGGCTTATAGGATAATAATGAATTCGAGTAAGAATTTAAAAGGTATATTTGATCTTTTGTAGTTATATGAATTGAATATGGTTATTGAAGTGTGTATATACAATTTGTAAAAGTTATGAAAATTAACGTCTGATTTTTAATTCTATCTATTATTTTTCTATTTCTAAACCAAGAAATTAAAAAAAGTATGTTTCATTGCTTTTAATATTAATCCTTGAATAGAAAAAATTACACACTTTACTTGATTTTGATAATAAACCTGTGGGGACTGGAGAATATATTGAAAACTGATAATTATAATATTTTCTAATTAGATGAAAATATGGTTGGATGAACTTCAATAATATTTTCGTCAGGTTCAGCCAATCATTCAAGGTTTAGTAGAATAGGTTTAACAGGGTTGAGAGATTTCAGTTCACAAAAAATTCAAAATGTCGGAGATTTCAGTCAGGCAAAAGGAAAAAAAAATGTTTAAAAAATCGAGTTTGTGGATTTTATAAAAACAAAAGTTAAAGTGTAGAAAATTTGATAAGAATAAAAAATAAATTCTATGCGTACAGACTACAGAATTGTATTGTATTTAATGAAAAGGCAAAATATCGAAGAGTAAGCAATAAGTATTCTGTTTACCTCTAAATGTAATGATTTATAGTAACTAAGTATTTAAGCTTTAAAGAATTTCATTCATCGAAAGGGTTAAGCTGAATGGGTCGAAAATCTTTGGCTAAAAACTAAATAGTTTATTAAAAGTAATTTAAGATAAACTAAAAGTATTACTCGTTATTATCTTTTTATACCTGTTTGGTTGGAAAAAGTCTATACATATTTGAAAATAAAATAAGATAACGATTTCAAATTATCTTCAAAATATAGACTTTAAATAATGTTCTATACTTTTAAATTTAAACTGAATAATACACAAAACGTTTTGATTTGGAAAAAAAAGTAATATCAAAATGCAAGATCATAAAAAAGTTAGTTTTGTTAAAAATACTGTTCTCAGTAAAACTCAAGGTAAAAGTACAATCTTTCTGCACTGTTCTTGGCTTTGATATAAGTAGATGACAATTAGGATCTAATTATTTTGAGTATCTATATATTGGAACTTCTCTTATAATTGGACTAATTTTAACTGATACTATAAAGAGTGACATGTTCGCACAATTCCAGATTCACAAAAGTACTTTTGGGTTGAACGCCCCTTTAAGTGTGAGAATCGATATTTTGGATCTGATTACTAGAATTTTCAATCTATTCAATACCAAGTACTTATCTACTGCTGGGGCTAGGAGTATATAAACTATAAACAAGGGTGAATTGAGGGATTGGAAGGTGGGGGCTAGGGATTGAATGATTATGGCCGAGGGGTTCCAGAAGTTGGTCAATGGATTGAAGGTCGGAAGGCGAGGAATGGAAAGTTTGGAAGGAGAGGATTAAAGAGGATGGGTTGGGATGGGACAGAGATGGAATTTCAACAATAGAACATACAAGGCCCACATAGATTCAGCCTCCTTATAAACAGTCTCATCAATTTTTAAGACAGGGCTGACTTTGAAGTGTCGCAACGCCCTAAGTTTAAATTTTACCGCTCTAACTCACTTATGCTTTTCTGTAGCCCTTTACATGTACATTTTAGCACTGTAAAGCACTTGTTGTTAGATGTGGTTTTTTAGAAGTTATTGGCAAAATTCTCAACGATTTTTGCTTGAGAGCGTGAGACCATTAAATCGCAGTGAAGGTTGTAAAGCACTACTGCCAGAACATACTAGGTTGCAAATCACTACGGCTAGAACATGCTAGGTTGTAAAACACTACGTCTAGAGCAGACTAGGTTGTAAAACACAACAGATAGAACAGACTTGGTTGTAAAACACTACGGCTAGAACATGCTAGGCTGTAAAACACTACGGTTAGAACATACTAGGTTATAAAACACTACGGCTAGAGCAGACTAGGTTGTAAAACACAACAGATAGAACAGGCTTGGTAGTAAAACACCACGGCTAGAATAGGCTTAAGTTGCAAAACACTACGGCTAGAACAATCTAGATTGTTAAAAGTTAAGGAAACAGCTGACAAAACTTGAGAAAAGCTTTGGAATGAGACTAAAGTAGGTGTTACTAGGTAAAAAGGCGATAGCAAAGGAGGTCGGAGGGGAGGGGGAAATCTTAACCAGGTAAAGAAGTGGATAGGTTGTGAGGAGGCGGTTGACCTGAAAAGGAAAGGGTGGGTTTGGGGGAGGATAAAAGGGTTCACAGTTGTAAATTATGACACGTAAACAGAGTTAAAATCTCCGAAGAGAAATGAAGAATGAAAATATTTGACAACTGATGAGATGATGGATAGTTGAACTATTGGACCTGTACCCCCCACCCCCCTCTACTACCACTCCTTCTTTAATACCTCCTCCCTCCCCCTACTAACAGTTAACACTGGTATTTAGCATTAATGCTTGATGTAACAAGATGTAAACCTTTATGTATTCGGTCAACTGAAGGATATTGGATAACAGTATAGAATACCTGCTGAAACCTGGATATATATATATATTAAAGTGACTGTAACAAAACTACTTTTTAGTAAAAAAATTAAGCCGGATTTACGCTGTTTTTTTTTATCTGTCGTTATCTTCGGTAGTTTAGTGGTAAGAGCCAAGTAAGCTTCCAAGCCAGCTTGAAAAATTAAACTTTCTAAGCGGGTAAAATGTTAAACCTCGAAATTTTTCCAACTTTAAGTAAAAAATTAAGCCAGTGAGACGTTAAAAAATTAAAAACTCAAACCATTTCCACTATGTACTAAGAATAGGCGATAAAAATGTTTTTGAAAAAAAAGTTTCATTCTTCACCCCCCCCCCTCCGCACACACACTCACCTTAACACTTAACACTGTTAATACTTGAAGTATCAAGATGTAAACCTTGTGTTCAAATTAAGGACATTGAATAACAACATAGAATACATGATGAAAGGTGGACAAGTTAAATATGAAATATGTAATTCCAGAAATACTGCCATGTCTGATTCACTACTGATACCTTTTAACTATTTATGATAATAATGAGAAAGATATCGTCGTTTTCTACAGTTTTAGGTTCCTTCATTCACCCTTACAGAGAAATCACAAATCAATTTTCAGCTTGAAAAATAAGGTATCTCGTTCATTCTAGATCAGGCAGTGGTAATAGGCCGCATGTCAATCGTGGAGGAATTTGGTAACTTGAAATAACGATGTACAGTCCTTTTAAGATTAAAATGTAAAAGAAAAATTTTAAAAATTCTAATTTTACCAATGCACATTTCAGTCAATGTTTAAAATCGGGATCTAGACCAACCTAAACTTTAAAAAATTCACATTCTGATCAAGATCTAGCAAATTAATCCTTCAAAACTCAATCTAGAGCTTTGCAGCTCTAAAACTGTATGCATCTTAACATTTTTCACAAACATTAGGAGAGGTTAGACGGATCAAATATTTTCGACTAATATACATACAAGTTTATTAAATTAAAGGAAATCTCGTTGTAATTTCAAGTGACCTTTCATTTAAAGTAATAACCTTCTAACATTTTTGGGTCAATAACGTAGAAGGTGTTGTCGTTTTTCAAATGGAAAATGCTTAATTCTGACAGTGTTTCAATTGCTTCTCTGGCAGATATGCGTATGTCACTTTACAAGAGAACCCATCATTAGAAATAATCATATTTTAAAAAGAAAATGATTAAAATCTGAACTGCATTGTTAATGAGACAAAACTGTTTAGGGTACCGTTGTGAATCGGACATACCACCCAACAAGCAGAGAGTCACTTGAAATTACTATTTCAGTCTCTAAAAATGTATAATTTATGTAGACATGTATGTATTGAAATTGTAATGGATTTATATCTATAATTCAAATTTATGTATGTAATTTATCCAACAGCACCATATCTGGGAAATATTGATGTATATGTATATTCAAAAGGAAACACATCCTACAGGTGCATTTATGTCTATAACTGTTCAACACAAGAAAAGGAGGAGATTATGTACGAAATACATAGATAAAGTTATTTATTTTAAATAACTTCAAACTAAAATAAATCTCACGGAGGGTTGGAATCTTATGTTTTCAGTAGAAGTAAACTTTTCCATTGCCGATAAAAGGATTCATATCTCTAATTGGATAATGAGATAGATAGAAAGATAGATATTACCGCCATACTATTTCTATTGGTTCAGAATAGACAACAAACACATGACTGAACCCTGATTGGATCTGGCGCCATTGGACTCGGCATGCCTCGTCTTGAACTTCTTGAAGGCCTATTGCAATATTTTGAAAAGAACAAAAATGTTTTGAAATTTCTAATTTGTAACCAAATAAATTTGCTTTTCTTATACTTGTGCGTAAAATTAAAACTAGAGAAGCTACGAATTCACAAAGTCGTACCAGTACTATTGCAATAATTTTACCTTCTATTTCTGTCTAGTTCGTTATAAGATACAATTTGTCTAATCATGACAGTATAGAGAAATGATTTATAGGAACTGTTATATCAATTTCATGTGAACCATCATTTTAAGATTTCCATTTATTTCATTAAAACTTAAAAATATATCGTCCTTTTTCTGGCTGTAGAAGTTATTTAGTCCCTATTTTCAATATTAAATGAAAATAATCGATTTTCAGTAAATGCAAATAATCGATTTTAAGCTAGACAATAGGGAAATTAGTTTTAAAAAAACTTTTATAAATCGACAACGCTTCCCTTTAAATCAAAGGTTAAGTTTACAGTCCCTTTAAAGATGATCTAAACCCTGGTTTACTGCTCGAAATCATTTAGTTTTCTATTTACAGATTATAGTTCTATA